AGAGAGAGAGAGAGAGAGAGAGATAATGAGTAGCCACACCCTGGAAAGCGTATGACCGATCGGTAAGTTTTACACCTTTACCGATCACGCGCTCGATCATCCAGCAATCACTATTCAAGTACAACGTATCAGCACTCTGGGTATTGAATCTATATATAGGCGACCGTGATATTCGTGCTTTACTATTTGATAGCCCGAGAGGTTAGGATTAAAATTATCAAAGGTACTTGATCCCGAAGACGTCTATTGTTAAAAAAATGTCACAAAGTTTATTCTTTCGCTTTTCCCTTTGCTTTTACTTCTCCCAAAAAATGTATGAACAAATGAAACGTTTATCTGTTATTTTTGATACAATATCATTTTGCTTTATTTTTTTTTATTTTTCATTTTTTTTTTTTTTAAATCATAATACTTAGTAATCATTAAATTTTTTATATTTGATTATTTTTTTCGAACTATATTATTGTTGCTTTTTTTTATGGGGAAGGTGAGGATAATGCTTGGTCTCTCTATATTTACTATATAATTATATGCTACATCATATATTTGGTACTACGTATAAATGAACGTATGTGTGTGCGTATACCATACACATACGAATTACTTATAATTAACGAAAAATGCATAAATTTTTCATTTCATCAAATTTAATCAAATATTAGATTGAAATTCTTTTTATATACTTTTATTTAACATAAAAGGAAAAATTGAATTAAAAAAAAAAAATTAATAAATAAATAAATAGTGAGTGCGAGCGGATAAGGCAACTCATTCAACAACGAGTGAAACGGAATCCCATGAATTACAAAAAAGAGAGGGGGAAAGGAAAAAACAAACGAACTAAACAAAAAGGGAAAAGAAAACTTCGTGTGATTGGTTGATTTCTCTTGTTTCGATTGATTTTTCTCTACGGCTTCCTCTTCTGCAATGATCATGCGACAAAAGCGTTTGACCGTACTTATATATATATATATATATATATATATATATAAATATATCTATAATTTTGATTTATTTATTTATTTTGTTTATTTCTTCTATAAATTCTTTATACATTCATTCCTTTATGTTTGGGCGGATTAAGAAAATATTGAAATCAATATGAATCAAAAAAGTAAAAACACGAAATAGGTTACATTCGGCTTGAACCGAATTTTATTTTACCCACCCCCTCTTCCTGTTTTATTCTATACTATTAATTGCAAACAATATATGTATATGTGGATATATGTGCATATATGTGGATATTATCTAAAACATATATATAAATATTTAAATTTGGTTATATAAAGAGATATGGGAAATATTAAAATTTTTTACTTGAATTATTGCCATCGTGATCGTCGTGATCGTGAGCAGCCGATCGATCGATCGTTTCAAAATATTTGCCGAATCAAAAATGTATTCTCTTAATAACAAACCTCTGAATTCATTGGCGGATTGACCTGTTAGTTAGTTTACTTTCCGGTAGCGGGCGTAATTATGAAAGACAGACAATAAAAAGCGAAAAAGGAAAAATAAATAAATAAAAAGAGGAAGAAGAATCTTTTAAAGTATAATTGCTTGTATAGATATATGTATATGCATGTGAGTATTCGTATCTAATTTTAAAAAATACTTTTCTGATATGATTTGCTATTATGTCATTTTTTTCCTTTTTATGAAATCTGGATCTGGATCGTCGTCTATCTTAATTTATATATGTATATATATATTACATATGTATATATATATATATATAATGTTTGATTTTAAATATATATATATATATATATATATATATATGTATATATATGTAAACATGTATATATATATATATATATATATATATATATATATACATATTTTGATATATATATGTACATGTACGCGTGAGACCGTGATATATGCGTGTGTGTTAGTGTAATTGTATATATGTAAATAAGGTTTAACTCTGGAAGGCTATATTAATTCATTTTCAAATATGTACACACTTTTTATATATATGTATTTACGTATATAGCAGTTTTTTTTTTTTTTTTTTTTTAAATTGATAATGTTTAGCTAATAATTAATAATTTTGTGTTTGTTATTACATGAATTTTATAAAATTTTTTTTTTTTTTTTTTTTAATTTTTTAGCACCGTTTTAGTGAAATTTAAGATATTTTCTCTTTTATTTTCTTCTCACCTGATTATTTTCTTATTTTCCTTTCAGCGTCTTCTATCTGCTTTTGTGTTTTTTTAAATTTTTATTTTGAGTTTTTTGTTTTCTGAATTCTTTTTATTTTTAAATTATTTATTATAATTAGATGTTTACTCTTATTTTTAAACGAAACAAAATTTACTTCTATTTTTAAAAATAATAAGAACTATAGCTTACCAGCGTTTCATTAAATAACGTACTTTTTATGTTGTGTGTAAACTGTATTATCATTTACTCTACCTTTAAATATCTTTACAAATATGCATACCTTTCGAAGCGAGGAGTTTAGTTCCTCTGCGAAAATTTTTAATAAAAAGACATAATTGTGCAAATTTTTTAAAGTGGAATATTTTTTGTAATTTTCTTTTGCTTTCTCTCAATAAAATGTTCAAAAATTCAAATCCGAACGTTTTACTTTTACATATATACTCCTTCTTATCTTCGATAACTATTATCTTTTCAATAATAATAATATTATAATATAAAATAAAAATAATAATTATAATCATAATTATAATCATAATAATAATAATAATAATAATAATAATAATAATAAAAATACTAATAATAGTAGAACTTGGTTGTACCCAACACAGACACGCGCTCAATGATAAACAGAAAAATACAAATACACACACACACATGGGTACGTACGTTAAAATGCCATTTTCTTTTCTTTATTGCTATGTCGTTTTAAAAATAAACGTAAAAATGAAATATAGACGAAGAAAAATAAAAAAAAGAAAAAAATCCAAGCAAGTCTTAACAAGTCAACAATTAATCCGAATTATAAAACAAAAATACAGTAGCTTCGTATTTCTCTTGGATTTTTTATAATGAATTTACAAGGCCCGCGCAAAGCAGATGTAAAGCAGCGAAGCAAAAATTTTTGTTCTTCTTAAGCCAGTTCATATTCATTATTTAATATTTATTATTTATTATTATATTCGTTTCAATTGATTTCTTCTTAAATTAATAATTAAAACTAAACGATATGCTCTTTTTATATCATATCATATATATATATATATATACATATATACATATATATATTCTTTTACGATTTTATATATTCAAATCATTTATTATGTTTACACTGGCGCGCATTGCGTATATATATATATATATGCATATATGTATATATGTATATATATATATGTACATATATGTAAATAATTAATTCATAATTTCAACTATTAATGGCTACGTGTTGTTTCATTAACATTTTAATACGTCTTAGAATAATATGGGGCAAGTCTATAATTTATTATTAATATTATTATTATTATTGTTTTTCGGTTTTGTTTTCGAAAGGATTAAATGTTTTGCTTTTTTTTCCTTTTTCTATGTTTTTAATAAGTTTTTTGGTTTCATTGGCTTTATGACGAAAAACACTTTTCTTTTGTCCTTTATTTTTGCGATTTGAGATCAAAAAAAAAAAAAAATATACATAGAGGGATATATTTATAATATATATTTATATATAGATATATGTGTAATACATATATTGTATATATATATATATATATATGTTTATAAGTGTATATTATAGATTCTTTATGCGAACACATTCAAACTTACACACACACACACACCCACCCGCAGACACACACACACACACACACACACACACACACACACACACACACACACGCACACGCACACGCACACACACACACACACACACCCATCCACCCAAACACAATCGCCCCCATAGCCTGTAAACTCAATTCATTTGACACTCTCACTTATTTATATACACACACACATTAGCTTCCTTCTTAATGAAATCGAAGCAATAAACTTAAAGATTACAGTCTTGTTTTTAAAAAAAAAAAAAAAAAGAAAAAAGAAATAAGAAGAAATTTTAATACTTTTTACATGATGAACTTTTTTTGCATGCATTATTTTGCTTTTCTATATGTGTTTGTTTTTCCTTTGCTTGCTTAATAAACTATTATTTACACAAATTTTTCATAAGAAAACACAAGAAAGTCAATCACATTTTATATATTTTACTAAAGAACCTCACTGTTTAAAAGATTGCACATTTATTTCTCACTCGTTAGGCTACTTGTTAATCCCATTTATTGTATTTCACTGGCGTTGGCGTTGCTTTAATGCTTTTTATTATCTTTCCTCCTTTTAATAGTTCCAGGTTGACGCAGTACTGATCTGTTCCTCTTCGTTACTTAAGCGACTTACACGTACCATTCGTAGTTTCTCCTCTTGCATTACTTTGATTTTATCTTCTTTGCTTTTTGTTAAGGCAGAGTTTTGCTCCGAGTCACTTTCGCAATCCGCTTTCTCCTGTTTTATCACTACTTCAGGTTCCATTATATCGGAATGAACGATTTCTTGGTCTTCTGAGGTTTGAGTTTTATGAATTTCTTCTTCGTTTTGATCTGAAATAGGTTCAGTGCGTTGATTGCTTTGCATTATGCAAACTCCGTTAATAAGTCGATCGCTGCTCTCTGTGGTGGGTGTAGCATTAAGTCCAACGGCTGCTGGATTAACCCATTGAGGTGCTGCGCGTTTTCGTTTGTTAGAGCGCATATTAGCGCCAAAGAATCGATCACTACTACTAATGCTTGAACGAGGTGTGTCTTTATAGTCGCCCGACTTATCATCCTCGTCTAGGGAGTCGTTGTCGTTTTCGCTTAAATGCCCTTCTTCCAGATCATCCTCGAAGTCATCGGTTCGTTCTCTTTTGAGTGAACTCATACTTAGATCTAAACCGGACATTTGCTCTTTAAAAGCTTGATTTAGAGCATGAATTTCACTTTCGCCGGCTATACCTGGGACAGCTGGCGTGGCGTTAGGTATACCGGCAAGGCTGCGACTAAGTAGTGCTGCTGCTGCAAAATAGGGCGGGTAAGGCAAAGGATTAGTGCCAGTTAGACCCATGCGCTCCTTATGCAATTCAAGTAGCCGTTGCTGAAGTAGTATGCGAAACTGGACGGGATCAAATGGTGTTGAATTTGTATTTTCTCGACTAGGTATCGGATTTTCGGCACCCGGCGGGCCGTGAGGCACTTGTTGCTTTAAACGCATGCGATGGTTGTGAAACCAATTGGTAATGGTGCGTGTCGCCAAGCCTAACTCATTGGCTAGGAATTCAATTGTTCCCACATTTGGATATGGATCTAAAGCGAAAGCTAAACGTAATGCTTCCTTTTGTTCTTCAGAGAAGAGAACTCGTTGCTTTTTATTTGGAGTAGGGCCACTAACTGAACTACCAACTGAGCCTGGACCTGGGCTGCTAGTATAAAAATCATTAGTGTCATTGCTTGAAGTATCTGAACTGTTATCTTGTTGATTGGGCCCCGTGGAACGTCGGCGTTTTGATGCTTCCCGTCTCTCGTTCTTTAGAACTTGAAGACGTTCAACATTATTGGCATCGGACAGCCATAATTGCATACGTATAAAAGGCTCGCGACCTTTAATTGAGAGCATATGCCAAGGTTTGGGTTTGCTCAATAATTCCGATACAGAGCCCTGAGAAAGGCCGAGAACCGCCTCTCCGAATATTTTTTGCCCAATATTGTTGGTGAGTAAGGCTTCTTTAATTTTAGTCGTTATAACTTGAGTATCTAAGTCTTGCGTGAGTGCAGCCATTTCATATACTGTTGGTGACATATGCTGATGTAAGTTTCGCATGGCATTTGGCGTATGTGGTGAGTGTATCGGCATTATCATCGGTTTCTTTTCTCCACTGGGCCCTGATGCTGTCGTTGGAACACTAGAATTAGGATTTGTGGTGGCAGCTGGTAAAGGAATAGCATGTTGCGGTGGCAGGCCTGGCGATGTTAACAGCATGCTTTGGTGATGTTGAGCTGCTTGGGCTACAGCTTGTGCGGCTTGAGCTACAGCCTGATGCTGACTTTGTTGAGCTTGATGTTGTTGTTGCATTGCAGCAGACATAACAGCAGCCGCTTGCATTTGTTGCATGATCTGTTGAGCCTGGGTAGGTTCTTGTAGTTTCAAATCGTTAATCATTTTTTGCATAGGTAGCGTTCCCTGCATTTTATTAGCTAAACCTTGAGGAATCTGAGGTGTTCCACTGTAGTTACCTGTGCGCATAAGTTTCTCAGGTGCAATTTTATATTGACTGGCAACTAACTTGTGAACCGCATTCTCGTCTTCGAGAAACATTTTCATACGTATAAAGGGTTCTCTACCTTTTTGCGTAAGCATATGCCACGGCTTAGGACGAGCTAAGAGGTCAGAAACGGATCCCTGAGATAAGCCTAACACTGATTCTCCAAATAAACGTTGAGAAATCGAATATTGCGATAAAGCCTCTTTGACACGGCGAACAATATCTTCGGTATTAAGATTGTTGAACATATCAAATTGTTGCTGCGTTATGGGTGGAAGCACGGCTTTTGTAGGACGTTGAGGTTGTGGATGATGCGGTGGTACGGGCGGTTGTGTGATTAAAGAGTTGGTTATGGACGCCATACGTTGTAGAGGACTGGCAGTAGTAGAAAAATCGTCGTTCGATGTCATTGCAGGCGGGAGAATGGTGTTGCTAAGTGGACTTGGGGCAGCTGAATTTGCATTCAGAGCTGGTGTATTGGCGGAAGGTTGTGAGGCAGGAGTATTATTGCCTGTATCGGACTTGCACATACCGGGATACAATCGTTCCACACTCGGGGTGGAGCTATCTTTGGCATTTGTTGTATTTTGTTGGGCGACTGCACTAGAATTTTCTAAAGAAGTTTGTGAGGAAGTAAAAGAGTTGCGTTGTCCATTCGTTTTAAGCTCTTTAACTGCCGTTTCTTTGCCTAAGCTCAGATCTTGCGCTCCATTCAGCATTTGTTGTTGTAAAGCCATTAAGCTAGAAAAATTAGGAAAATTTGGGGGTTGTGCTTGTTGCTGTAATTTAACCATTTCCCTCTCGAAAGCCAATCGCATACTCTCATCAGCTGCTAAGCCACTAAACGTATTACCTGGCATACCAGCGGCAGCGGGTAAGCCACCACTAAAAAAAGGATTAAGCATAAAACTATAATTAGGTTTAGCAAACCCGTGTGCATACTACGTTACGAGTTTTTCATGGAAAAGACATGTTTCGTACCTGGGAAAAGCTTCTCGGGGAGCACGAGTCATTATCTCTTGATAAAGGCGAGCCATTTTCTCGGGATTCACATCCTCTTGACGTATATGAGGGTTGCTCTGACTTTGAATACACGAGTCTTGCGTTTGTTTGATTTGCTCTTTAAAGAACGGCGAAGGGCAAGGTTGGAGTGGCGATTTGGAATCCTCATTGCTATGCGAATCTTCATGAACACGTCTTTGTTGTTCATCTTTTAATTGATGCTGCAGACCAGAAGATACCGAACTTTTCATCATCGACGAAGCCTCATTTAATATATGAGCAATACGCTCATCAGACATACTATCGTCACGGCCACCGTACGGCGGTAAGCCGGAATCTAAAATAAAAAATTATGATAAAAAAAAAAAAAAGGGAAAAAAACAACTTGAATTAATGTTTTGTTTCATTTCTTTTTTTACTCGTTTTTTGTCTCATTTTTATTTTTATTTTTTTATTTTTATTTTTTGAGCGACAGATAGTGCTGATACTATAAATATCACATTAACGCACATAAAAAGCCCGAAACGAAATATATAAAATCAATCATCTCATAAAAGCGAACGAACCTTAAACAATCACATAAGTAAAATTAAGAGGACTGTTTATGATGCAATCCTTATTGTTTGCATGAAAAGGTTAAATATGTTTGTTGCTTTCGGTATTCGATTTTACAGTATTTATTGATAGCGAGTTGGTTGGATTTTAACAGAAATATCTGTCTATTCGAACAGCAAGCAAAACTGAGCGGTTTGCCTGCCTTTCTGCTGCTTCTTTAGAAATCATAAATGTGCAATTCAGTATATGGCCTCAAATTGTTAATCATAAATATAAACATTTCTTCTTTGCTGAAATTTATTTTTCAATCCAGGAATTGAAGTTTTACGGCAACAGATGTTTTTTTCTTGTTTTGAATTAGTTTTAGGGCGATAAACTGTCCGTATAGACGGGTGAGTGGGGTATGGCGGGGTCGAAGATGCAGATATATAACCTCCGCAAAGTTTATATCTTCGACTGGCGGCGATTGCCCCTGAAATATATACGCATCAAGAATCCTGGAGGTACGCTTGAATCGTTTAAGCTAAGTTCGTTTGACTTTCTGCCCGTCGCCGAATGGCAATGTTACTAATAGTTTTTTTTTGCTTATTCGAGGGCTCAAGTAATGTAAGAATTGAAAAACATGCTGGAATACGTCTGACGATATTTCTTTTGCTTCAAATGTGTCTGTCACAAATGTCGAGTTTAAGGTCACGCAAAAACTTGATAAAATTTCAATTTTCTTTCGATCAAATATCATAAAAGATTCCTAATCCGGATGGCGAGTGCGGATAAGGCGATTTTGCTTGGGTAAGCAATGTCTAATTTCCTTCTTTGGTTTCTCTTTTTTTTTTTTTTCGATGCCTTTACACAAATGACTTTAAAGACGAAGTTGTTAAATAAACTTAATTTTCAAAAATATCTCTTTTTTTTTTATTTTTTTAATTTTTATTTTTATTTATTTATTTATTTTTTTTTTTTTGTATATTTTTTACTGATTAAACATCAAACAGTTTTGATGTTTTTCAATTTTCAGAATGCGCTAATTCAATCTTCATGAATTTTGCTCGCATGGATAAGCATAAATTGAAATGAAACAGAAATATTAATAAAAATCTCCCCAACACAATTGCCAATATAATCGTTCATTATCATTATTATCATCATTATCATCATCATCATCATCATCATCATCATCATCATCATCGTCATCGTCACCGTCATCAGCATCATCGTCGTCATTGGGCAGTAGTTTGAGAGATGTTTGCAAAAACAAATGTGACCTTGCTTTTGGAAAATTGAAAAACAAAAAGAAAAAAAATTGTTTTTATTTTGAATCCTGTACGCCCATTAATGCATCATTTCATGGCTTTTGGATGTTTGTTTTTTATTCATATACATTTTTTTCCTCCTTTCACGTTTTCACAATTTTTCAATCCTTTGCATTCACATTTTGAATAGAATATATGATTTATACGCTGTTGATTCACTGATAGAGGGCATGCACTTTGCCATATATATATATATACGCGTTACGGATCCATAGAAACACCTAACTCATCAAAAGCGAATTAGTGGTTTTTTGCACATCCATTTGAACACATATTTATTTAAATGCAAAGAATCATGCATTCATTCATTCGTTGCCTTCAACGCTATGAATTTCCATTAAAATATTCTTTTTTGATTTTTTTGATTTTTTGATTTTTATTTTGAGAAAAACTCTATCACAAAGACTAAGAGCCTAGTTGAACGTTCCTTTTATTTAGTCGCCCATTACCTATTTCACTTCTCAATATTGATGGAGCTTTTAATATATTAAATCACTGGGAATAATAGCGTATAATGAATAACGGGGAAGGTGTTTAAGCCAGTTTCAGCTCAATTTTTCAAACATTTGCCATCACATCGACTTGAGAGGGCAAATCATTTCACATTATAACATGCGCGTGTACCCTATAGCATATTCTATATACCTTTAACACCCTACATATTTTATATAGATAATTATATATAGATATAACTGATACTAATCAATCTGTATATTTTGTTTGAGTATGAATTCGGCCAGAATTATAAAAATCGGATATCGCGTATTCTATCGTATATATGTAGTTCTGTGATGTGGAGAAATCAGCGGAAAGTAAAAACGCTGCTTTTTGCCAGAGTCAAGTACAAAGCAGCGAGAAAGAAGGTCAAATGTCCGCACGGATAGTACAGTCGTTATCAAAACATACAAATCAAGACTCGGAAAATCTCGGGATCCTTTACATAATTCTGATACTGTGAACGGTATTAATGCGTTAATTTTTACAAGCAGGTCTGGTCTCGTCAAAGATGTTATCTTTATGCTATCCTGTTAATTTTTAACGGAAGCGTGTATAATGATTCCCGATTTATCTTGATTCTCTTGGTAAATGAACGAAATCGAAAAAGATGCTTACAACGGCACCTCTCTTCGCATTCCAAGGAGTAAAAATGTGTAAAGTAAACTAAATTACGTAAAGTAACGTATCGAAAAACTTGAAAATTTTTAATCAATGGAAAATTATATTCAAAAGTCCAGTATTATAACAGTTTGCGATGAGTTTATAAAATTGATGCCTTAGCTGTACATGACGCTAGTGAATGCGAAGAAAAGAAGAATTGGAAAATAAGTGAACGGACACTGTCTTCGCAAGTGGAATAGTTGATCGTTAATTGAAAACCGTCTACATGATCCTTTATCGATTATGAACGATCCGGCCGAATATTAAATTATCACAAGCGAATTGCCCGTGTGTGTGCTAATCTAATCTAATCATATTGATCGTAATATAAATTGATTTTTGATTAAGTTTGCAATGCAATGTAGCGCCTTTACAGCGCATGATGTCATTTTGCTAAAATGAAAGTTAAATAAATAAGAGGATGTTGGTGCGTCAATATTATCGTTATCGTCATCGAATCGAAATTGAATCGAACTTGAAAATGCTTACTTAACAAATGTATATTCTGGCAGCAGACGGGCATTAAACGCTATATATATTGGATCCAAAAAGGCAATCAAATAGAAGGCATATTACTTAAATTGTTTGAATAAGGCCTTCGCAGATTTAATCAGCATAATGAATAGCAAATGCCTTGGTTCCCGGATAGCAAAATTGATCTTTATTACATGTAATAAAGTGTATGAGTCAGTGATTTCGTTCATTAGACTCACTAGCAGATAGATGCACGAATCAAGCAGAATAAAATAAAAAGTTGCAGTTTGGTATCGCAGGGGGCTACTGAGACTGTAGCGGATTTGAAACTAGATATCTTACGGTAAACTTTGTCTTTGGAATATATAAAGCAACAAATTGCAGCTTGCAGTTAGCAAAAAGCTTAAGATGTCAAGTGAAAGTCAAGCAGTCCAGCATCAAGCAATACAAGCAGATAAAAGAATGAATTCCTGCTGAACACCATACTCCCCCATAGTGTTATAATAGAAAACACAAGAAATAATTCGGTAGTTTCTAATTTCACGTAAGTTAGTTCGGACGACGGATTATGTCACAGAGCGAGCATCGAAGAGCGCAGAGCGATTCGAATGATCTATCTCCTAATAGTTTACCTTTGACTCAATCGAACACCTCTTTTTAAGTATCTGCGTACGTCACTTTCAGTTCGTCAGACTATAAAAACTTTAACTACACCGTAGGCAATCAATGCGAAAATGTAATTTACGATTGATTCGCTACTAAGAAATGCACGCTATATTCGGGGGCGTAAATAATTTAGCCGCAAACTACACGCTCAGTTAGCTGCGGCAAGAAACTGAGTTAAGTATGAGTTTGTGCTTTTTTGCTTGTACGCTTTCTTAAAGGGAACGCAAAGAAAACAATTTATTGAAAAGAAATTAAAAGAAGAAGAAAACAAAACATTCTATTTTAAATACATGGGTACTAAGTCGGTATATGCATCGAAATCGGAATGAAATGTGCCAACTAAGCGTACTATCAAACAACTTCTTAGAACGAGAGAATCGGAGAATATAATCGACAATAATTTATAAACTAACACATCAACAAAAAGAGATGCATTAAAGTGTTGATGATTGGATCATTGGCACACATTGACACATTAACTATTTTCTTATTTTTATTATTATAAAGTAGCCAGTAGTGCAGTTTGCATATGTTGAGCTTATGTCGTTTTGTCGTGTCGTGTGAATTTGATAGGTCGCAAGACAGTCGGTGGGTGTCGAAAATCTATCGATTACGTGCCACTGAGCGTAGTTTTGATGTGTTTGTCCTTATTTTGCATACAAATAAAGTTTGCGGCCTCTTAAGATCGAGTCGACTTCAAAATTATGCTCGCACGAAAATGACCTTTCACACACGCACACAACGAAAATCATCTTTAATCGAAACATCGTTCGGACATCGTTCACCAGAAAGCCATTCTTTACAAGAGCTTACATGTTTTGGGGAAACTTAACAAGGAGACATTTTACGTGAATTACCCAGAAACAATGAGATTATTTGATCAATAGACTATGCAATCAGTGTTGTATGGGTTGGGTTGGGTTGTTTGGCGCTAGGTCAGGGTCTGGCCGTACATTTCGCACTATCCTGATTAGCTCTTATTTTAGACAAATTCGCGACAGGGTTTGTCTAAGAGGGGCAGAGTGCTAAAAAGTGAACAGGAAACTAGCCGGAGAGTGTTGCCTATAATTGGAAGCAAAGGTATGATTTTTCCATAAGATCGTATTTTCGAACTATCGGCAAACAATTGCCAGCATGATGAGCATAAATTAGGAAGTTTTCGGATATGTTACAC